CAGTTAGCATAATTTCTGACCCATTTTCTTGGTCCCAGGCTTGAATATCCTTTCCTACGCTATCCCAGATTTCCAAATCTAAAGTTCTCTGACCTGGGAACCAAGGACTACATTGCTATGTAAATTGTAAGGAAACAATCATTTGTGAAGTATTAATTTTAATTCCCTTTTTCTTTAAAGTATGCTGCATTATGTTTACAAAGAGCCTTCTTTCTTTAGACTCATTATGGCCCATGAATTCTCAAATTTTTTCAGTTCTTTCCTTTTATCTCTCTTTTGCCTGGTCTAGCTCTTACCCAGGGGGCTTTAGAAACCCTTAGGTGAAGTCCTGTTCTTACTGACAAAGGGGACTTACCTCCAAAGGTCTCCCAGTTCTGGGCAACAGTCGCCAAAAGGACTTTAAAAAGTATTTCTGGAAATGTATACTTTCCATAAGCTGGATATTTTGCATTTTGGATGAACAGTGCAAAACTGGTTATGAGGCCAGAGTTTTGAGGGATGTTGGCGTGGCTGTGTTTTCTGTTAGAAGTTTTTTTGGTGTAGATAAAAGCAGTTGATTTTTTTCCCCTCGGTCTGCAGTGTCAGGTGTGGGATCGACACACTCCTCTTCAGCTTTACATGAAATATTTTTATATCCATTGTTAGGTTATCAAGAAAATTGGGCATTATCTCAAGATGAATATAACGGTGCCAGAGGATTACATTGCAGGATTTATCCGAGCCAACAATACTTTCCTCTACCAGCTAGTGTTCGACCCCATCCAAAGGAAGCTGGTCCCTCTCAATGCCTATGGAGATGACGTCAACCCCGAAACCCTGAGTTATGCTGGGCGGTATCCTTTCTGAGTCATGCGGTTGAATTTTTCACTTACTCTGTTATCGTTGTTGGTAGTAGCACAATATTTTTAGTGAGACTTTAGTGAACAAAGAAGGAAAACCTTGGAAGTTGGTCTTATATTTTATGTCATATTTTACTCAACTCCAAAAACCCGTGCTAGTGAAAAGTTAAGTTTCTGAATGTGAACCCAAGGCTCATCTGTGTAGCGAGTGATTGCTCCAATGGAATTGACCGCACTGGCGCCAGGTCACCTGCTCTTAGCAAGCGCATCAGAAGTGTCACCTGAGAGCCACTGGGGCAGGCCTGCTTCCTCAGGAGGATTGCTGGTCACCAGGACTCAGGCGGCTGCAGAATTCTCAATCACTTAGGTAGTGGCCAGGACTTTTCCCACATCTCTCTGGAAAGGGAGGAATTGACTTGGGCTTCCCTTCAAGAAGATGGGCAGCTCCTGCAGGGACACAGGCCAGCTACCCTGCCTGTTATCAGTGATGCTGATGTGAACAGTAGGTGGGATCTATGTATATCATAAACCTTGAAGATTCTCTGTGGTAATGGACAGCATTTTCATTCCTTAGTGTAGTATGATTCGATTGCTTGTTTGTAAGGACATTCTCCTTAACCTTACCAACCCAGGTATGTTGAGGACTCCGTAGCTCTGCAAATAGCACTTGGAAACAGAGACATAGATACCTTCGAGCAGATTGACGACTACAGTCCAGACACTATGGTAACATTTTATGAACTTCTATATAAAGGCACCTTTTAGTTTTGACTCAAGGACTTTGAGGCAAGGCTTTTTTTGCTCAGCAGCTATGAAGTATTTTGGTACTCAGTGCTATGCAGAGTGTACATGGAAAACAACTCCATCTGAGGGAGGGGGGGCGGACAGGTATCTGTAGTCCCAGGATTTGGGACACTGAGACAGGAGAATTGCCATTCATGGTTAGCCTGGGCTATATAGTGAAATCTTGTCCTTTTGTTTTGTTTTAAGACAGATTCTCACTATGAAGTCTTGGCTGTCCTGAAACTTACTATGCAGACCAGGCTGTCCTCAAACTTACAGAGATCCGCCTGCCTCTGCCCCCTGGGTGCTGGAATTAAAGGTGTGTGCCACCACATGTAGCCAATTACTTTTAAAGAATGATTAACTTGATCCTAGAGAAATTATCTCTTTAAATGTAGATGTATTAGTTAGGTTTTTAAAATTAAAAAGTGACTAGGTGATATTTTTAAGACAAGCATTTGTTATAACTATATGATACATTCAGTGTCTTGTTTCTTATTTTACATCATTCAGACTCTGTGGCAAGTAAGTCTGATACAAGCTATTTCTTTCAAAACTAGATCGTTTAGGTTTGAATACAAGTTTCTATCCAGGCTTGGCCAAGGGACTCCTGGTGGTAGTCCCAGCACATGGGAGGCTGAGGCATGGGGATCCGTTCAACCAGCCTAGACTACAGGAGAGCCTGTCTCAAATAACTAATTAGAAGTGAACAGATGTCTAAGTATGGTGGGTGACTGCTTTGAGCACATGCCTCTGTAGTCTGGTGCTGTTTGAAGGCTGTGGAAGTGTTCATGTGCTGTGGGATTATTGCTGAGGTGATGTGCAGACTTACAGACACTTTCACTGGCCTCACTGTGTTGTTGCTCTTTTTAGGAAGATTGGTTTTTTGGTTTTGTTTGGTTTTGGTTTTTTGAGACAGGGTTTCTCTGTGTAGCTTTGGAGCCTGTCTTAGAAGAACTCACTCTGTAGACCAGGCTGGCCTCGAACTAGGAGATCCATCTGGCTCTGCCTCCCAAGTGCTAGGATTAAAGGCGTATGCCACCACCGCCAGGCGGAAGATTTGGTTTTTATGTCTTAGAAATGAGCCGGTGGGTAGAAGACAGACCTAGGAAGATAATACATATTTAATGGAGAAGGGTGAGGTTAGCAGAGGAAAGTAAAAAGTTATTAGAGCACAGACTTCATCAGGACCCTCCCTCCCTCTCTTCCTTTCTTCCTCACTCTCCTACTCCCCCCCACCCCCCACCCAGGCCTCAGGCTGGAGGCAAGCACTCCACCACTCAGCCCTTTTTAATTTGAAATTGCTCACTGACTCACCCAGACTGGGCCTGAACTCACGAGGTAGCCTGATCCTCCTGCCTCGGCCTCCTGAGTAGTCTACATCACCAGGCCAGGTTCAAAAGCTTTTCTTTTGAACGGTAATTGAACATTACAATAAGCAGGTACAGTAGGAAATGGCCATTTCTCCTGTGCAAGTAACCTTTCTCCTTGTTCTTTTCTAGCCTGTCCACTCTAGAAGTCACAGCTGGAATGACAAAGCATGTCAGAAGTCACCTGTGGCCAACAGCATTTGGCACAGGAATTATTGCCCTCGACTAGAGGTGAACGGTGTTTCCCACGCCCCTGGGTTGACGGAAAAGTCAAGTACCGTGGGCCTTAAACAAGTGATTAGTACTAAAGGGTTAAATCTTCCCAGGAAGTCTTCTGTGGTGAAGAGACCAAGAAATGGTATGTATTTCATTTTTTCTGGATGCTGCTGATGGTTGGTTATGGGTCTCCTCCTTCCTCTGGGGTCGTTGGCCACCAGCCCATGAGGGAAGAAGGAGCAGAAATGGTGAGGAGCAGGGCTCAGCCTGCTGTGAGTGGGGCAGAAAGACCCTCTGAAGTCAGCTCCAACTGCTGTGAGTGGGGCAGAAAGACCCTCTGAAGTCAGCTCCAGGTAGACCGCTCAATTCATTCCAGGGCATGAAGGGACAGGGACAGCAGCTGCGCCCTCACCTACGGGTGCTCATAGCGTGCTTTATTTGCATTGGCAGCACGGTCCCATCATACAGATGGGAGCACAGCACCTAATTATCATAGGAGTGGTGGGGGAAAGCGTTTGCAGGGAACTGTGGCAAAGGTTGACTTCAGGTAAGTCAGGGGCTAGAGAGATGGCTCAGCGGTTAAGAGCAGTAGCTGTTCTTCCAGAGGACCCAGGTTCAATCCCCAGCATCCACATGGCAGCTCACAACTGTCTGTAACTCCAGTTCCATCCTTACATGCAGGATCCTGACATCCTTGAGTGCAAGCAAAACACCAATGCACATAAAAAATAAATAAGTCTTTAAAAAAAAAAGATAAGTCAGGCATCCAAGCTCAGGAACAGCTTCCAAGGAAGGTCAGGCAGAGAGTAGGAAGCCCCGCTGGGGGAAGCGGGGAGGGTCTTTCATTTTGTGCTGAGCTTAGAGAGCCGTCTGGACATGGTACATTGCAACCCTAAGCAGCAGGACCTTCCCCAGTCAAGGGATCTTTTCCAAGCCCAGGCCACTGCAGTTGCTTTGATTGCTCCTGTTAGTCCCACAGCTGTAGGTCTAGTGTTTAGAGACATTGTAGATGGCGGACAGTAAGGCTCCAGGCTCCTCGGTGTGTGTATGGCATGCCGTGTGGCTGTCCAGGACTGCTGGCCGAGGAGTTTTCCGTGTCTTCCACATAGCCACCTAGCAGCTGTTGGAAATCCCTTGCCGTGCAGTGCGTCCTGGCTGGTCAACCGGTCTGCGCTGCTGCGTCCTGGCTGGTCAACCAGGCTGCGCTGCTGCGTCCTGGCCTTAGCATCACATGCTCATTACCGTAGCTCAGCACATCCTGAAATCTGGTAGTATAAATCCCTGGTGGTATAAGTCTGTTCTGCTTTTCAGAAGGTTTTTTTTTTTGGCTATTTGAGGTTCTTTCTGTTTCTGCTGAGTTTTTAGGATTCACTTGTCAGTGTCTCTTTTTTTAAAAAAGGCTGTGGAGCTGGGTGTGGGTGGTGGCACATGACTTTAATCTGAGCACCCGGGAGGCAGAGGCAGGCAGATTTCAAGGAGTTCAAGACCAGCCTTGTCTGCAGAGTGATTTCCAGGACAGCCAGGGCTGCACAGAGAAACCCTGTAGACAACAGTCAGGTTGGCACTTGGGTCCTTCTCCAAGGCTGCTCTTACTGTTGCAGAGTCAGACTGATCACGCCTGTTGGCGTGCTCCTCATTGTTTCTGTCATTGGCCGAGCTCAGGTTGAATTTCTCCAGTTGCTGTTCAAGCCAAGTGCAACGACATCTTAAACTTCCATGCGGGTTGTTGAAACTGTGGCCCCTGTGTCTTACTTTTTAGGTTATATTGTGTTTGTCTATAAAATACTTGAGTGAATTAGAGAAAGCATGGGAATCTAGAGCCCCAGACCCAGTCTCTTAGGGTGTACAACTTGCTACAAATCCTCGTCCCCAAGAGGTAACAGATGGTGACTGTCCACTGGAATCCCGTGAGACACTAGGAATCCCCAGCTAGTGGCACTAACAACAAAACTATGTTTTTCTTTAAAAATGAAGATTTTCCTCTAGAATTTGGCACCCCCAACCTATCCTACCACCTTTTTAGTTTTATTTTATTTTTACATTCATTATTATTGTTGTTATTATTATTATTGTTGTTGTTGTTATTATTATTATTGGGGGAACAGACACATGTATGCCAAGGTGTGTAAGTGTAGATCAGAGGGCATCTTGCAGGAATCGGTTCTCTCTTTCCACTCTGTGGCCAGGGTTGGTAGCAGGCGTCTGTATCCTGTTTTGCTGACTCCAGGAAGTGTGCATTTAGGCTGCAGTGGGGTGGAGCTGAGCAGACTTGAGAACTAGCTGAAGGACCTAAAGTGCTGCAGCCCTGTCCGCCTTCTTTTCTTGGCTGTCACTTTCTGTAGTCTGCACTTGACCCAGCAACCCTCTTTGGCCTCTTGGCATGGTAATGAAGAGCCGAGCGCTAGAACACAGTCACATCTACCTCAGAAACCACACAGGGGTAAATAGTTGATGGTTTTATTGGAGCATTAAAAACTTTCAGTCATTAGTCACAGCTTTGTATATAAGCCTCCCTCCAATTTTTTTCTACTCTTAAAATAAAAATATAGCCATTCAGAGTCTGTTTTGCCCTGAAATTGTGATTAGAGTAATTTCATATAAAGTCATACAGATAATTGACATTAAATGTTAACTAATTTGCAAAATTGTAAAACACAGCTAAGGTAATCATTTTTCAGCCATTCTTGATGTGTCCTTTTTCGACACATAGCTTTCAAAAAACAAAATAGGACTGAGTATATGGCTTGCCCAACATGTATAGGGGGAAAAAGGATGCTTTGCCTTTAGGACAGCAGGACTCAGGCTGTAAAGTCCAGGCCAATAGCCAGCAACGGAAGAAGCCCAGGTGTTCATGCGTGCTTCCTTTCTTGTGTAGAATCTCTGTCTGAAGATGACCTATTGAGTCAGTACTCATTTACAAAGAAGACCAGGAAAACCAGCGGTGGAGACAGCGCACCTTCTGACCCTTCTGAAGTGTCTGCACCCCACCTGGATGGCGGGGCTGCCCACAAGACAGA